GCAGAAAAACAAGTACATAAATCAACACAATCTGCAGATTCCCGAGGCGACTCAGGAAGCAGGTGACAAGCGTTTCAGGAGACTCCAAAGCTGGGAATACCAGCAGGACTGCAGGAATGGGCCTGAGAGGACCACCGCTGCCATATGGAGGCGGAGACCTTGTGTGCTGAGGGATTTTGTCTAGTCTTTGAGCCAGAGCCACAAACACTGCGGACCCCAGCAGCCCGGCTTGGCCATGCAGGGATCGGGGAGGGTCTGCACAGCTATGCTCCTGCTCCCCACACACAGAGTATCGACAACATTCTGGTATCTCCACAAAATCATTAGAACGTTTACGTTGTGTGAACACAATAGCGTCAGGGACGGTTTACATCTAAATATGTTCGTACGCACTCATCCATTGGTATTCTTCTCAAAAACTTCACTCCCAAACTTGAAAATCCAGCCTCAGTCCTCCTGCAGTCACTAAGCCCACCAATGAGATAATGTGACAGCCAATGAAAACCTCCGCCTGACAGCCATGTGACTTCCTCTCATGAACAGTCAGCCAAATGATGAGCGTGTGCAGAGAATATGGCCTGTTCCAGCACCCAATGCCCACCTGCGTGCGGAGGCTAAATGCTTAAACATGATCAGAAACAGATACTACGTGTTGCACGGCTTTTTCCAATATTTCCCTTTTTAAAACAACTATTTTTCTGGTTCAAATCATCTTATACTCAAAAATTGACCTTCAGTAACTGACAGCGCATCACAGAAACATCTGTTGCATTTCACAAATCAAACATGTTTGTTAAAGAAATGTTTCAGAAGAACTTTGACAGACTGAGAGTCCTTCTCCAGTCAGGATATTCCTTGGAAACACATGGAAAGAATCCAGAGAGCGAAAGGTCGACGGCTTCTGGCTCACAGACACGGATGACAAAAAAAGAAAAAAAAGCCCTCCCCTGTAGGGCCGCCCTCCTGTGGGAGGGGTAAAAATAGCACAAAGAAGGGCAAGGGCACAAGCACAAAACACATCACCGCAGGATTCAAAGGGGAAGCGGACAATCACCCTTCCTGAACGCTCCTCACCTTCAAACTGTCTTCGTCTTTCTCCTGTGATGAAAAGGCTTGTTTACTTAAGGTCCACTGCTGGGGCGCCATGCAGGTCATTCATACAAGTCATGATATGAGAGCGATAAACCAGGTAAGGGCTATAATGTGACTTTCACACCCAGGTACACGGGACTGCCAATCACGACCCAAAATTGCTAATTTAATGCGTCATTTCATAGCGTTGCATTGTGGGTTTTCATACATTTTTTAGACAACACTGTACATTTTTACATTACTTCCCATGTGCTCCTCAAATATGTTTCACCTTCAAGGGCAGCACATCCCAGACCTGTCCTCCATCTTGAGGCTTGTTCAACAATATGTTTTGCAGAAATCCTATTTGGTTCTGCATATGCTTGCAGGTTCTGGGGACGACACTGAAGTGCATAAACCTTATTTGTTGAGTGGGACCATCTATCCAAAAGCGCTGGTCCCTGAGGAGTAAAAGGGAATCATAGGGTTTCTAGGGTTACTATAAACAGAGCCAGAGGGAGGCGCTAGCCAGACATAAGGGCAGCAGATGTAGCTCGTGTCCCTGGAGACTTGAGCCTCTCTGGCAAACAGAAGATCGTCTCTCTCACTGACCACGGACAGTTGGCACCATTTAACCACAACTGGTACCCTGACCATCAGACGACACCGTACTCCGCACGCTCGAGACTCAACGCTGACCCACAGCAGACGGCCAAGCACAACGACCCCATTCAGGAGGGGATTGGGGTGGGCGGGGGTGCTATGTGCTGGGGGGCCGGCACAGTTTAGCAAAGCCAGATTCCTGGTTTCGCTCTGACTTTAAACCCAGTTTAACTGGGACTCCCTGAATAGCAAACTTGCATATTATGTCAAATTTAAAATGACCTTTACATTTATTTATTAGGCACTCTTATCCAAAGCGATGTACATTTTTTGAGTTTGCAGGCTCAGACAGTCTCTGAAACAAGTGGGGGTTAATGACCGTGCTCAAGGGCCCAATGGTGAAATCATTCTGCCGACCCAGGGATCTGAACCGGCGACCTTCCGCTCACGGGCACGCATATCATCAAAATCATACAGCATGGCAGCTCTCCGTCTGTCGACGTAAATGAAACGCCACTGAAGCTTGCAGAATGCCACATAGGAAAGAAAAAGACATTTCAATGCTCCATGCTTATCCACGTTTTGACCGTTAGGACAGTCCGTGTCATGGCAACAGAGGGCTGCACAGGGTGTTTCGGTAAGAGCTCCCATAGCTGACATGTTGGAGAGGAAAGATGGGATGCAGGATCTCACCGGCTTTCACAAAACGGCACTGAGCCGCTGCTTGAACCCAAGATGAGACAGATTAATAAGAAAAGCCTATCCCAGCAACAAGTGTGCTTATTGCCCCACGGATTAACCAAAGCCATTGACCAAAGATGTTGACCCCAAACACGACAGGCAGACCAGCAAAGACGACGAACCATGTGTTGTGTATCACAAAGGCAATCAGAGGAATGTAAGTGTCTCCCAACTTAGACAGAAAGTGAAGAAGAGAGAAGAGGCACCCGGCCGCACAGTGCTGCTACATTTACAGCCTATTATATGACGGTCGACATGGCAGAATATTGTCAGACTAACCCTTATGTTTCACCCCGTTTCACCCTCCTCTACATCGGAGCAGTGGGCCAGTAGTTCTGGGTGAAGCTTCCACAGTTTGTTTCAGATTGTGGAAATAACACCATTTTATCTTGTGTTTTTCTACTATTTCAGGCCAAATTCAGTTAGTTTTAGGAGAAAGAAAGATTTGGCGAGAGAGAGTAAAATTGCTGTGTAGCTAAATAATGCACCACTAATGTGTCAGACTCAATTCCCACCACTTAAGGGGGCAATTTGGGTGGGAAACTTTAACATGTGGGGAAATCTCACACGCTAATCCTATTGCTAAAAGGTTAAATATGTGAAATTCCTCAAACATATTTCCAGCCACACAATGGTGCGTCTGTGAACCAGCTGAGTGTCCTGCCAGGGTGGTGGGGGTGGGGCGTTTAGGAGAGGGCAGGGGGCTCAGGGGGGGCCAGCAGGCCAGGGCCGTGACACCGCATGCTGTGTTTTCTCCATTGCAGCCACGTGGCAAATCGATCCCCCCCACACCACAAACCTTCGAAAAAAGTTACGGGGTGGTCTCCACCCCCCCCCCAGTCTGCCCTGCACTGTTTACTGCTTTCTTTCCAAATTTCAACACCGTGCTGAAGGCTACAAGATTCCAACCCCCCCAACAGCACAGTTACGAAGATTTGTTAGCCCCACAGGTATTAGTGGTTAGCCTTTCGCAATTACCTGGTTCAGGAGAGGGCCACCTGCACAAAATGTTCTAGACCGACTTTCCTGCTGTTTTTATAAACACTCCACGCCCTTAGCATGGGATTAGGTGGGGGGGGGGGTGCCTCACGCGCCCACAGTCAGGGTTCGAGTCCCGCCCTGTGTGTGCAGTCTGCTTTCCTCCCAAGGTTCAAAGATGTGCACTTAGATAAATACGAGTCTCTAATTTGTGTGCGTATATGAACTGGAACCTCAGCCTCGTACCCTATGGAAGGGTGACCCTGACCAGGACTGGTCAAAGTAACACCTGCACACTCTGTGTCACTGTCACCCAGAAAAGATCACAAATGACCATCTCACCCATGTAATAACCACGGAGGGGATATAGCTCAGTCCCCAGAGCACATGCTTTGCATGGATGGGGCTCAGGGTTTAATCCCCGGCATCTGTAATCTAGGTTGTTTTTAAGAATTTCCCTCAGGAATTAATGGTGTTTCTCTTGCCCCGTGCAAGAAAACACGACTACAAAAGGTGCATTTCAGACGGCTAAACTATAAATGGACCAGTGGCGCTGCTGATCCAACATTTAACAGAGGTGTGCTGTTTTTACCACCACTGGCCTCATTCCTGTCATTGGATAAAGAGCAGGGTTTGATAATTAATAATTAACGGAGACACTTATGAGGATTTGTGATGGAAGAGGTCTGGGAGGCGGCAGGCGTCACCCCAGAAAGACGCCGGTGTCACACTCAGCCGAAGTGGCCTGACACTCAGGGCCCTGCGGCAGCAAGACGCTCGTCTGCATTAACAGCCAAGGCCCAGGAGGCAGTGGTGGTTACGGACACTCGGATTTATGGAGCACCCTAAACAACCCTCAGAGATACGGAAAGTATTAATATCATAGACGGTTACAGGATTCTGCAGTTCTGGGTCACAGAATTTAACCCAGGAGAAAGCAGAACCTCCCCCCCCAAGTCAGCAGTTAATGAATCTTTATGTTGAAAATAAACAATTTTAGAGGAACACAGAAGCCTAAAACTTGTCATGAACTATATCTATCAGCTATAAACATCTCACATTCATTAGCCACTATTTAGTAAAGCTTTGGTTTTAGAAAAATAGTTATAAATACCCTTGCATTGTTTTGCAAACAACCTGTACTCCAACTCTCACCGGCTGCACTGATTATACATAAAGAAGGAATATTCATGAAGGGGCAGGAAAAAAAGAAATTACAGATTCTCCGGAAGCTTTCCATGACCTTCAAGCTAAGCTGCAAATAAAAACATTTCTCGAAAGAAGCATCAAGAATTTTAAATGGGTACTATGTTCTCCAATTATACATGTAGAAAGAGAGGACAATCTAGATAAGTGGTAAGTAGGTTTTGGTATAAGCGACTGTGTCCTGCTTCCATTTGCCTGGGATTCGGACCCAGGGTAATTAGCTCGAGGTCACACAGCCAATCATTGCAGTGCTTATTCCTGTCTGTGTCATTTACCATCGTGGCAGACTGAGCTTGTACAGTCGGCTGTGAACTTCAATCAATACACGGAGTTAATTACACACGGTGACATATAGAAACGCACAACACCCTTTCTGGGGGGGGGGGGGCATGAGAACTCACCTGCCCCGGCCGCTGCCCCTGGGGTCGGCGGTACGGGTCTGGCCCACGGCTTTGCGACGGGGGGGGCCATCCTCACCAGGCCGACGTACTCCACGAAAGTGCCGGGGAAGTCTCCTTTCTCTTTGGTTCGCTCATTGGTGCCCTGCAGCCACCCCTTGGGGGCCTTCTCGTCCCCGTCCTGGTAGTCGGCCGTCAGCACAGACACCTTGTTCACAATGAGGGTGTCGCCGGGCTGCAGGGAGATGTCATCTTCCCTCTCTTTCTTATACTCAAAAAGCGCACGGTATTGAAAGCCTTCAGATGCCATTATTTCAATTATTAAGCACAAGGCAGCAGACTGCCTAACTTTCCCTGCTTCAAAACTGGAAAAGCTAATCTGTCTTGGGGTGCATCTATTTACTGCAGGACAGTCAGCAATCAGCTGGAAGGCTGAAAGTCAAGGATTTCACCATGTGAGTAGGACCGGAAGGCTTCAGACTTTCCTTGAAAGTGCCAGCGGTTAATGCATCTGGGGCACTTAAGACTCCTGAAGACTCCTGAAGGCTGCATTTAAAACTCAGGCAGCAGGATGAGCAGGCGGCAGGCGGGAGCCGTTTTAGAGGCGAGAAGGAGAAGTTAGAAGAGCAGGCGAGATAAGAGAGCGGCCCAGACAAGAGGCTTCGATTCAGCGTCTTGGGGATCCGGATTAACGGCACTGCCACATATACCAGCGGGTCCAGTCACAGGTGTGGCCGCATAAAGTCACAGATCCGTCTCAGCTGCGCGTATCCACCACAGACATTCGGCTGGAGTCTGATCCACTTTTCTCTCATGCAGCTCATATGCTGAGGTCCCGAAACGCCCACGCCGGAAACTGAAGGGTACATATTATCATTAGGATGAGCAACGTTATAATTGCATAACAGACGCATAGAAGTTATTACGACTGAATACCGGGCAACTGCGGCAATTATAACGACATTAAACTGGCATAAATTACACACATAAAGCTTTTACCATTAATTTTAGCAGACTAGCAGTCTTGACTCCCGACATTTTATTATCCAGTGGATCTTACATACGTGTTAAGTTTTAAGAACAATCGTGAATCGTCTGTGGTGTTAGTAGTGTAACATTTTAAGGCGCATCACACAAAACATAATAATAGAATAATAATAACAAAATAATAGAAAATGTACGCGATCCAGTTTGCCAGCGGCACGCATTGAAAGGTACTGTAAAATTGTGCAGAAAACTTACCCCGCTTTAAGCACACGATCTTTCCCCCCGTGTCGCGACGTGTAAAATCAGCTCAGATTTGACGATGTCAGTTTGTGACACATGGGATATGTATCTGTGTGTATATATGTAAATGAGACCGGCGCTGTGTTTAAAGCGGACAGGCAGCCGTGATTGAGGTGCAATCGCCTCTCACATCAGAAGTACTCCGCTAATAGGGTGACGTCAACGGTCACGCCCCCGACCGCGTGAGTGACAGCGGAAGGGGGGGGGGGGGCGGTTGCATTGACGTCTTAAATCAGCACTGTACAGGATACAGTACAGTGTATATATGCAGTAAATACTGTACAAAATAATAATCAGCAACAAATAAGAAGGATACAACATACAGAACTAACTAAGAAGGAAACACCAGGCCTATATAATAATCAGATCTAAATAAAATGTAAATTCTGTATACAACAACATGGACGAAAAAAATATACACTGCATATATCAATCAGGTATAAGTAAAATGTAAATACTGTATTTAATATTTTAACAACATGTAAACACTGTCATTGATCATCATCATCATTAAACACTATACAATAACAATCAGGGCTAAATAAGATGTGAACACTGTATATCATAAT